TTCTCATGTGTTCTACACAACATTTTGTGCCCAGACATTCATGTAGGTTTTTATTAAAATGTTCTCCCATATACAGGAACAAGGAAGCTATAATTTATCATAAATAAATTAAGATTCCCACCCCCATTACTTACCAATTCTGCTTATTCATTTGTTGATTCAGGAAACATTTGTTAAACATTTACATGTATGAGACAGTGTGATGGTTGTTTTGTAATAATGATAATAACAATATATAACTTTGTTAGTGTGCCCTGATCAGATCACATGTTCTGAGATCAGACTGCTGTTTGAATTGCAGCTTGGCTACTTGGTAACTGTGAATATAGACAAGTTAATTAATCTCTTTCAGTCTAATCCTCTCTAACTGGAGATGTATTAAGCTCCCATAGCTGCCATGACAAACTCCTACAAATTTAGTGGCTTAAAAACCACACAAATAATCTAGTGTTTCATGGGTGAGAAGTTTGTGGGCTCAGCTGGTGTCTGTACTCCAAGTTCACAAGGCCAGAATCAAGGTGTCAGTCAGCCTGGGTTCTTAGCTCAAGGTTCCTGGGGAGAAACTGCTTCCAGGCCTATTTGGATCTTTGGCACTCTTCCATTCCATGTAGTTGTAAGGCCAAGATCCTTATTTTCTCTCTGGCTTCTTCTTGGCATTAAGAGGCTGTCAGCATGCTCAGGCTTGTGACCTTTCTTCATCTTCAAAGTCAGCAGCAGCTTATTGTTCTATCTAATAGATTAGCAAATTTTCATAAATCCTTCATAAGGCTTAATGAGGAAATAAAAAGTTACTTCGATAAATCTGGCACCATGAGGGTAATATTTTGGTTCTTTTAATGGCTGACCTTCTTGTAGCTCTAAGATATATATCATGGTAGAGATTAGCATTTTGCCTGTTGTTTGGGGTTTTTTTCTCCTTGAGGCTAAGGTCATAAGTACAGTATAACTTCATGGCCATTCAAAGATCAAAGCACATGAAAGCACCAGGATAAATATTCAGATTAAAGTGCCATTCTATGATATAGGTTCAGCATTGCTGATTATGATAATAATCTTTTTTTAATAAGAACAAATACTTGTTACATGGTTCTGTGTTTGCTACTTAATCTGTTATGCAAAAGTTTTTATGGTACAATCTTTAAGTGCTGAGTAGTTTTCTCTGTTTACTATGTATACTCTGTTTGTTGTATGTTTGTGTTTTAGCATAAGAAATGGATCAAATTTAGCTAACAACAGATGAAAGCTTTCAAGAAAACTTATATAATTTGAAGTTCTTGTCCTAGGAGAAGATTAATGTTAAGGAAAATGATGACTATTTCAATTATTAACGATTATTCCATCTGCAAAGTTTTCTCAAACCTTTTGGCTCATGAATTATATTCTCATTTTTGTTCCAATTTAATTCTAGAAAAACCTATAAGTTTCAACTGTTAAAATATTTTGATACAACCGCAAAGGGGCATTTCACTTCTGTTTCTGAGACCCTTCTGTGGAATTTCATTGCTAAGTTATCCTTACCCTCTGACCACCAAAGGACACTTTTGTTATCATTTGAATACTCTGTGATCCCCTTCCTACTTAACACTTCAACTCAGCTACTTGTGTAAATGAACTAAATTATTAAGTTTTTCTTCAAGATACATTTGGAATATAGATGTTTCTTTTTTTGTATACTAGTTTTACTTTTATAAAAGCATGAAGTTTTATTTCAGTGCTATATCCCTAGATATATAGACACATAGAAAGCATGTGATAAATAATATATATAGTGTGCAGTAAGTATATGTTATAAATAAACATGCCCCCAAATAGAAGCATTGCTTACTTTTTTTATAATGTGAGACTTTGAAGAAGGCATCATAAGTACCGATATCAATGCAAGAACACGAATGACAAGGCAATGTTCATTATATTTAGGTATAAGCAAATGAGAAATAACAATAAGCAATAATTATGATGAACTTTTGCTCTCAGGTAGCAAAAGGCACATTTATACCAACACTGCTCTCCCCCCCCCCCCACCCCATGCTGTGCTGGGCATACCTCTAGTAGATTGATTGATTGATAAAACGGGATTTAATTTATTTACTTGAGAGAGAGCAAGAGGGGAAAAGAGAGGGAGCCAAAGAAGAGAGGGAGCGGGAAGAAGCAGACTCCCCACTGAGCAGAGAGCCCATCAGGGCTCAATCCCAGGACTCTGAGATCATGACCTGAGGCTTGACACTTAACTGTCTGAACCATCCAGGCACCCCCTGGAAGCCTCCTTTGAAGGTGTTGAGTAGTTATTTTCATTTATAGGAAGTCCTGAGATTGCTGCAGCCTGGGTAGAACAGTGATATTTACCACATTTCTAGAAACAGCAAAAATTACAGATTCTCAGTATGTTAACACATAATTAGTAGGAAGAGAGGTGACAAGAAATGTTATGCTAATAAATCGAAGTCTTTACTGCACTGTCAATGTACTTGAAGCATGGGAGGCAAATTATGAATATTCAGGTTTCAAAGTCAGTGTGTTACAGTTAAAGCCTCTGAAGTAGAGGACATACTCTACTAGTGAGGGAATTGATGAATATATCTTCTATCATAGACAACAAAAGATATTTCTCAACCATTTTTTATTTTTGAGAACATATTTGATGGTTCTTCCATTCATGCTATAGAGGAATTCTGTTCTGTTCAGGTAGAAATTCTCTGGATGTATCTGTCTCCCTTCCCATTACTCATCAGTTTTATTTCCTGGGAAAATTATTTATATTTCAGAAATTGGAAGTAAATGATGAAAGAGCTCCCTCTTTTTCAAAGATGTTATTGTCATAAACTCATAACTGTTTTCAATACTTGTTTTATTTGATCTGGTATCATCACATATTAGGATCTCACTTCACTGCCTTAGGATTTGAGGTTTCATTTCAGAGCCTGAAGGCAAATGGCCCATTATCAAGGCTGTTGGAATGCTATTGCCTGTATCCTTAAATGCTGGAATTAAACCACAGTTTTCAATAGACAGAACACACCCATGAAAACATCCAGTTTCACTTTGGATTAGTCACTGTAAGAAAATTAAAAAGGCAAAATAAAATCCATTTTCTTATAGTTCATATTTATTTATAAGCATAAAGGTATGAGAAATGGGTAGTTTTCAATTAGTTTTCAATCACTCCAAACTTAATTATTTCCATTTCTTACATAGGATCATAATACAGTGGAAAATAATGCCATCATAAGCAACATATCACATGTTTTTATGGGTTATAGTATTTGCATATGATTTCTTTTTTAAGAGTAATTTAAATTAATGTGAAAATTTTCTAATATCAAGAAAACTATTTTGCCCTAAACCTTGTATAGATTACTGGATCACACTGTTGGTAATCAGTGAGAAATAATTACTCCAATTATAAATAGAATGTTCTCCTAAATGATTTTTAAAAAGATTGAGGTTTACACATTTTGACATTGCTGTTTTTAGCAGCATCCCTTATTCTAACATTCATAAGAGGAAATGGGCTCATATTAAAAGACATTTCAGGGAACCCTGGGTGGCGCAGCAGTTTAGGGCCTGCCTTTGGCCCACGGCGCGATCCTGGAGACCCGGGATCGAATCCCACGTCAGTTTCCCTATATGGATCCTGCTTCTCCCTCTGCTATGTCTCTGCTTCTCTGTGTGTGTGTGTGTGTGTGTGACAATCATGAAAAAATAAATAAAATTAAAAAAAAAAGACATTTCATTAAAACCTCAGTGCTTTCATAAAAATAAATTAATTAAGGTAAAGTTAAAGAACCCACCTAACAAGTAGTTGCATAGCACTATTTGTCAACCTCTCTGTTTTGAGTACTTTGTAATTTGAAACTCATTTAATCCTTGTCACTTCCCTATGAGACAGTTAATATTCCTATTTATAAATGATGAAATAGATTTTAGTATACAGTCTAAGGTCACATAAGTAGCAGGTGACAGAACCAGGATCCTAACCCAGGAAGTAGCTCCTGGGCCTATCTTTCTATTCCTTGCTCTGCAGCCACTCAATAACATTTTGGTGACTTTCTGCATGTTTTCAGGATTTTCACTTCCTTCATTGGCATCATGTTATGCATAAATTTTGTGACACTGACTAATCCACTTCCTTTGCATCACATTTGCCTCATGGTGCTGTTTCTTACTTACTTGACTAGCTAAAGCAGCTGACCTATCTAAATTAAGGAATCCAGTGTGTATTAGCAGCAACTGGCTTAAGTTTTCATTGTCTTAGACGTGTGCCTAAAAGGATGGATCATGATTTTTTCCTTAGAGTATTCATTTGCTATAAAAGATTTATATTTGCCTCTGATAGAAAGTAGTATGCAAATTTTTTTTAAAATAACAACTTCTCTGTGCTTAGATATTGACAAAACACATAAATCTTTGAGAATTGAGGGGAACTTTTCATATGTCTGCCTAAATGTTGGCTCACTGTAAGATATTCTTGGCTTTTATATGAAAAGCACATTTCAAATTCTAAACTCTGACACGGGAGAGATAAAAAGCTATATAGAAATTAAAACTTTACTTCAGTTTTCTCTAGCTATAAATTCCTGACCACTAAGTTTAGTCTTATTCATGGTACCCAGGAATGTCTCTTGTATTAAATTTTATTCAGCTAAGAGATTCTTGTTTTTAATAAACTTGTAGACAATAATCAAATGGAAGGTTCCACTATGGATAAAAAGCCAACCTTTATCTTAATTTTGGGCAAGGAACACACACAAATGAAACATGAAGCCATTTTATGCCCTGAGTAAAGCTCATGCTTTTCAGGATGTCTTAGTAAATTTTTAACATTAAAAAAAGTTAAATGCTCAAAAATCAAAGAAAATGGAAAAGTACCTCTTTTTTTTCAATGGCTTATTTGTCTTTAGAAATTTTTTCCTGAATAAAATGTTAGATCTTATTATGCCTCTGTGCTTTTGTTGTTACTGTGAAATATGCCTGAGAGCATTTTTTATTCTTTTTCTTTCCAGATGACAGAAATGATGCTCAGGAGAATAGCTTAAGAGACTTAATAAAAGAGCTGCCAGACACCCACTACTGCCTCCTCAAGTACCTATGCCAGTTCTTGACCAAAGTAGCCAAGCACCATGTAGAGAATCGCATGAATGTTCACAATCTCGCCACTGTATTTGGGCCAAATTGCTTTCAGTAAGTTAGTGGAGTTTTGCTGTTAATATTGCATATACACCTTTTCCTTATTACTGCCTGCAATTACTTGGGTTATAGAATCATATTTCTTGCTGAAAAGTCAACCAATTTATGTTAGTGGAGTTCTATCTTGCTCTTGGGCATTTTAGCCTTGTTTTTCATCCCAACTTTAAAGAAGGTAGATAGGCTTTTTCATGAAATCCACAATTTGTGGTTTTATTTAAAAAATTGGAAATAAGTTTTACTTTCACTAAAAAGCGCATTTATAATATTTAATTTGAAACATTGATTAGCAGAAAGGGAAGGAGTATAATATAATGCATAATTTTTTTAAGTGATTGCTAATAGGTGGAAAAATACAAGCTAAGTATGTCAGTGACAGAAAATACAACCTTTGATACATTTGTTTCCTAGGAATAAACTAGACTAGAAATAAACTCCTCTCCTTGGTAGGTGTCATAATACCGACCACAAGAATGCTTATAAAACTTCATATTTTCTTTTCCTTGTTATTCCATAAAAGTCTTTAATTGTTGATATGTGAAACATGATCTTGCAATCCAGGGACTTTCTTTTAACTCTCCTATTAATATATTAGTCCCCACTGATACAAACCACATTTCTTCTAGTTTATAAGGACAGGAAAGAATATAGTCACATTTAAAAGCTCTCATAAGGGATCCCTGGGTGGCGCAGCGGTTTGGCGCCTGCCTTTGGCCCAGGGTGCGATCCTGGAGACCCCGGGATCGAATCCCACATCGGGCTCCCGGTGCATGGAGCCTGCTTCTCCCTCTGCCTATGTCTCTGCCTCTCTCTCTCTCTCTGTGTGACTATCATAAATAAATTTAAAAAAATAAAAAAATAAAATAAATTAAAAAATAAAAGCTCTCATAAAATAAATAAATAAATAATAAAAGCTCTCATAAATTCTTAGCAATTTTTAAAATATTGTATCTATTTATACACTCCGTTAATCTATAGACTCATAGACTCATTCAACAGCCCAGAACTAGTAATATCACAGTCCTCAGAATGATTGTCCAAATATAAACTCTGGCTTAGATCTGGCTTAGACTCTGGGGTTCCAGGACATTCACAGCCTACTATGGTGAGAAGTTCTACCTTAAAAAAATTTTTTTTTTAATTTATTTGAGAGAGCGATCGCATGAACAAGTGCATGTACATGCAACCAGGAGAGTAGGGGAGAGGCAGAGAGAGAATTTTCAAGTAGTCTCCCTGCTCAGAGCCCTACTCGAGGCTCGAGCTCACAACTCATGAGATCACAACTTGAGCCAAATCCAAGAGTCGAACCCTTAATTGACAGCCACCGAAGTGCCCCAAGAAGCTCTACTTTAATAACTATCCCCATTATAACCTTAGAGATTTAAATTTTAAATAATAACATTTCATAGGATACATTAGGGTCTTTTTTAAAAGATTTTATTTGAGAGATTTTATCCCTAGAAAGGAGATGTTGGCATGGGGATTACTAATGGGGGATACTTTATTTTTATCCTATATACCTCTATTATTATTTGAGTATTTACAATGATAACATTATATGATCATCCAAATTTAATAAACCTATAACTGGAATTACATGTTGAAATGTAATTTGAGAGTCACCCAGAAGCCCAGCATTCGAAGCACCAAACATTCATCTACTGTTGGTACGTTTTCTCCCATCTTATGATTATATATTTCATAGCTAATACCTTTTTATGTCTGATATTTCATGTTCTTTTAAAAGTTAATATTATTTCATGAGGATATTCCCTTATTAAAAAATAGTCTTTATTTGCTTTTTAAAAAAATTTTAATTCCAATATAGTTAACATACAGTATTAGTTTCAGGTGTACAATGTAGTGATTCAGCAATTCTGTATATTACTTAGTCCTCATTAAGATAAGTGTACTCTTGATCCCCTTCACTTATTTCACCCATACCCCTACCTACCTCCCCACTGGTAACTATCAGTTTGTTCTCTATAGTTAAGAGTCTGGTTTTTTGTTTGTCTCTTTTTTCCCTTTGTTCATTTGTTTTGTTTCTCAAATTACACATTTGAGTGAAATTATATGGTATTTATCTTTCTCTGACTGATTTATTTCATTTAGCATTATAGTTTCTAGATCTATCTATGTTGTTGCAAATGGCAAGATTTCATTCTTTTTATGACTAATATCCGTGTGTGTGTGTGTGTACTATATCTTTTTTATCCCTTCATCATTGTTGGACACAGCCTATTTTCCTAATTTGGCTATTGTAAATAATGCTGCAATAAATATAGGGGTGTGTATATCCCTTTGAAATAGTGTTTCACTTTTTTTGGGTAAATACCCAGTAATGCAATTACTGGAACATAGGGTAGTTCTGTTTTTTTGGGTTTTTTTGTTTTTGTTTTTGTTTTTTTGTTTGTTTACTCATGAGAGACACAGAAAGAGAGGCAAAGACAGAAGGAGAAGGCGGCTCCCTGCAGGGAGCCTGATGTGGGACTCGATCTCTGGACCCTGGGATCACGCCCTGAGCCAAAGGCAGGGGCTCAACCCCTGAGCCACCCAGGTGCCCAAGGGTAATTCTATTTTTAATTTTTTTAGGAATCTCCATAGTGTCCTTCACAGTGACTACACCAGTTTGCATTCCCACCAGCAATTCACAGGGTTCCTTTTTCTTCACATCCTCACCAACACTTGTTTTCTGATTTTTTTTTTTTTATTTTAGCCATTCTGACAGGTGTGAGGTGATATCACATTGTGGTTTTGATTTACATTTCCCTGATGGTGAGTGATCATATTTTCTTGTGTTTGTCAGCCATCTGTATGTCTTTTGGAGAAATGTCTGTTCATGTCTTCTGCCCACTTTTTAATTGGATTATTTGGGTTTTTTGGTTTTTACTTATTTGGTTAAAAAAAACACTTTAGTTTTTTTACTTATTTGGTAAAATTCTTTGTATACTATGGTTACTAACGCCTTATCAGATAGATATGTCATTTGCAAATATCTTCCATACAATAGGTTGCCTTTTAGTTTTGTTAGTTGCTTTCTTTGCTGTGCAGAAACTTTTTATTTCAATATAATCCCAGTAGTTATTTTTGCATATGTTTTCCTTGCCTCAGGAGACCTATCTAGGAAAATGTCACTATAGCCAGTGTTAGAGGAATTACTGCCTGTGGTCTCTTTTAGGATTTTTATGGTTTAGGTCTCATGTTTAGGTCCTTAATTCATTTTGAATTTATTTTTATGTATGGTGTAAGAAAGAAATCATTTCATTCCTTTGCATGTAGCTATCCAGTTTACCCAACACCATTTGTTGAAGAGACCATTATTTTCCCATTGCATGTTCTTTCCTGCTTTGTTGAAGATTAATTGACCAAATAATTGTGGGTTGGTTTATTTCTGGATTTTCTATTCTGTTCTATTGATCTGCGTGTTGTTTTTGTACTAGCACCATACTGTTTTGATTATTAGAGCTTTGTGGTATAACTTCAAGTCTGGAACTGTGGTACCTTCAGCTTTCTTTACAAGATTCCTTTCGCTATTGGGGGACTTTTGTGGTTCCATACAAATTTTAGGATTGTTTGTTCTACTTCTGTGAACAGTGCTATTGGTATTTTGATGTAGATTGCATTAAATGTGTAGATTGCCTTGGGTGGTATGGACATTTAACAGTATTCTTTCAATCTATACATGTAGACTATGTTTCCATTTGTTTGTGTCCTCTTCAATTTCTTTCATCAGTGTTTTATAGTTTTCAGAGTACAGGTCTTTCTGTTCTTTGGTTAAGTTTATTTCTAGGTATATTTTTGGTATAATTGTAAATGGGATTTTTTTTCTCAATTTCTCTTTCTACTGCATCACCATTAGTGTATAGAAATGCAGCAGATTTCTGTACATTGATTTTTGTGATCTGCAACCTTACTGAATTTGTTTATCAGATCTAATAGTTTTTTGGTGAAGTCTTTAGGGTTTTCTATATATAGTATCATGTCAACTACAAGTAGTGACAGTTTAACTTCTTCCTTACCAACTTGGATGCCTTTTATTCCTTTTTCCTGTTTGATTGTTCTGGCTAGGACTTCCATTACTATGTTAAATAAAAGTGGTGAAAGTGGACATTCTTGTCTTCTTCCTGACCTTAGGAGAAAAATCTCAGTTTTTCCCCATTGAGTCTGATGTTAACTGTGAGTTTTTCCTCTGTGACTTTCATTATATTAAGGTACGTGCCCTCAGAACCTACTTTGTTGAGGGTTTTTATCATGAATGGTTATTGTACTTTACCAAGTTCTTTTTTTCCATATCTTTTGAAATGACCATATGGTTTTTATCCTTTCTCTTATTGCTATGATGTATGACATTGATTGATTTCTGAATATGGCACCCCAAGTATAAATTCCACTTGATCATAGTGAATGATTTTTTTAATGTATTGTTGGATTGGTTTGCTAATATTTTGTGGAGGATTTTTGCATCTATGTTCATGAAAGATACTGGCCTTTAGTTTTCTTTTTTGTAGTGTCTTTATCTGGTTTTGATATCTGGGTAATGCTGTCCTCCTAGAATGAATTTGTAAGTTTTCCTTCTTCTTTTGTTTTTTGTAATAGTTTGAGAGCAATAGGTATTAGATCTTCTTTAAATATTTGGTAGAGGGGCAGCCCGGGTGGCTCAGTGGTTTAGCGCCGCCTTCAGCCCAGAGCCTGATCCTGGAGACCCAGGATCGAGTCCAACGTCAGGCTCCCTGTGTGGAGCCTGCTTCTCTCTCTGCCTGTGTCTCTGCCTCTCCCTCTTTCTCTCTCTCTCTCTCTCTCTCTCTCTGTCTCTCATGAATAAATAAATAAAATCTTTTTAAAAATATAAAATAAATATTTGATAGAATTTGCCTGTGAAGCTGTGTGGTCCTGGGCTTTTGTTTGTTGGGAGTTTTTTGATTCAGTTTCATTGCTAGTTACCTGTCTGTCCAAGTTTTCTATTTTTCCTAATTCGGTTTTGAGAGGTTATATTTTTC